TACAGGAATAAAAAGAGGGATCACATCCATTAAGGGTCAGAAAAGTTAATGTGTACAGCTTTGACATTATTTTCTACTCATAAATTAACTGTGAGGCAAAATGGGATGCAAAAGAGAGCATCTGTGTTTTGGACACTATCCCATTTCTACACTGAACCCCTCCCCCTCCCCCTCCAATGATTATTATCTGTTATTCAATTATTGCCTGTTTATGGCATTTGAATCATCACATGAGCCAAGGGGTGAAAAACGGCACACCTTGGCTCATGTGAAACTTTGCCCTCGCCCATCATGAGACCTATTGAGGTCACCTGAGGCGAGGTGTGACTTCCTGAATCTTTTTTTTGCAGTGTTCAGCACATTAAGTATTTTTTGTGCTATGTTTTATTATGTTGTCTGTGACATGTGTATGTGAGGATGCACAACTCACCAAATCTGCCTCTAATACAAGGTAGTGAAAGAACGCATGCAGCAAAAGAGTGATTAAATATGTCTCCACTTTTTTGTCATCTGTTGGCAGGGTATATGCTTCTGCCTACTCCTTTTCTAACAAATAATGGAATGATATTTTGTAATGATTACTAACTTACAAAACTTACTTCGTGAAGTGCTTGTGCTGCACACTGTTTTTACCTCAGATACCTAACAAGCAAAAGATTTCTTAAATAAAAGGTGCGGATTTGTAGGACTCATATTAAGAAATTTTTAACTACCTGCTAAGACCTCCCGAGATGACCCTGCCAGCATAACATCCATCGTTATTCTAGTTAGGCCTGTCTTTGCAATTCTTTGGCATTTTACAGCTGCCCTTGGTGGGAGAATAAAATTTTGCATGAGACTTTAAATATAAGTTCTTTCTTACTGTTTCAGGATGAAGTTGAATCTACCTCTGTGAGCAAAATTAACAGAGCCAGCGTGTGACCTCGGCAAACGTTAATAGATGCCAACTGGACAAACGTCTATCTTTTGCCAGTTCCTCAAAGAAGGGTTGTCTGTGTTTGTCTAAAGTGTGGTTGATTCAAGTATCGCTTAGAGTTTCTCGTGTAGTTCTCTCTCCAGAGTTGAAAGTGTGAACTTTAAAATACTTGAGTCTGAACTTTGTATTACAAAGAACTCATGTGTGCCTGCGTCTTTACACAAGTCACCTTGAGTAGTACTTCAGTGAAGAGGTTTTCAAACAGCGAGGCTCACTTTTAGATGTTGTGTGTGCCTTACAGACCCCTTATCAACATGGTCAGTACTTGGAGCTGCAGTATAAAAATACATACTCAAACCTAATATATCAGAGCCTACAGGCATGATATACACTTATTTAAGCCTAATTCTAGTCAGGCCCTTACTCCCTCTCACTCTGTTAGTGTGTGGAGTCACACTTGAGGCTTATGAGGGGTCTCTTAAGTAAGGGGGTTGTAGAAATACAGCAGCAAGATTGGAGATGACCTTGTAATCAGCATACTAAGATCATGTCTACCACTTATTAGAAGATGTGCCTCGATTCAGTTTCATTTGAATGTTTTTATCATTTTCTTTAATTAGCCTATTTTTCTATATTCATATATTGGTATTTCTAGTCAATATTGGAATTTATTATCTAAAATATACAAAAGCTGTGCATTTCTTTTGGTTTATTGCTGACACTCTTGAAATAGTCACATGTTTTACCTTCCCACAGTAGTTAGTAAGCTTAGACTCTGTGTTGGAGGGCTTTATAACCCACTTCCACTTTAGGCTATTTGGTCTGAAAAGCACTTAATGTGATGAATCCTCCATGCAAACATGTAAATGGAGTGAAAGTGTGTTGAGGGGACTGAACTGAATTTGGAGTTAGTGTGACTTTCCCTTCCAGAGGGCATTTTATATTTGTATTTCATCATAACTGAAAACCCTTAAACTTATCAAATATGACACAATATAAACTTCTTGTAACCCTGAAACCTGACTCTAAGCCATGATGTTTTTATGCATTTTATTTAATGTCAGATCATTCGAATAAAACCTAATCGTTATCAGCTAATTCCCCATAGCTTTAATGTCAAATTACAAAAACACAAACATGAATAAAGGTTTAAATATAAAGCAATATATTAAAACCAGGAAATATTGACTTCCTATTTACATCCCCCAAAGCTCTAAAATTTAGTGCACGATTTTGTATTAAATGCAATAAATGGAGTGCCAAAATTCATCAATACCAACATGACTAAGGCTCTGAACATCCCACAAACATGGAGATGGAGCTGGGCACCGACTCAAATGTCAACCTGTGTTTGAAGATGTGTTGCTGCAGTGGAAAAGTTAAAAACAAACCAGAGTAAACATGTTCAAATGAAATTTCTTACCTGTCAACGTATTTTGCAGCGAAATATCGTCAGGACAGACATGCAGCAGCACATCTCACTGCACGGCGCAGGGTCAGCTTCAATTTGCCGTGACGGGGGATGAAGACTCGGCAAACGACTGTCCAGCTGAGATGAAGCTTTGTGGGGAGCTGTGTGAAATTTCAGATGACATAGAGAGGCCAGGGCTGTGGACAGCCAAGAAATCCTCTTCAGGCATAAATCCTCCAGACTTGAAATCCAGACCGCTGCTTGGCTAAGCTGTAAATTCTTCTTAGTGGACTCTCCATTTAGTTTGAAATTTTAAACATCAAAGCTCTTAATTTGTGCAAAAAGGGGGGTTGCAGATTCTAGGGATTTTTTTTCCATAACACTTTGGACAAGTAAAAAATGAAACATGACGTAAAAAACCAGAAGCTATTTTCAAGCATTTTAATTCTTTGTAACTTTATACTTTAATTCTAATGTATTTTAGAGATAAATATTAAAGTTCCACGTTTCTTAAAACAATTGTAAACTTTAAAGCTTATTTAAAAGAAATCAAAGAGGTTTATGAAGTAACTGATAATAACTGATAATAAACAAATAATAGTCAAAGGAGCTTGCAAAGAAAAGCGTCTGGACTTCTTTAAGTTGCTTGAAGATGTTTCACCTCTCATCCGAGAAGCTTCTTCAGTTCTAAGGTCAAATGGTGGGGAGTCCCAGATTTAAACCTAGTGGGAGTGTCCCCCCACAGAGGGACA